CCCTAAACCCTAAACCCTAAACCCTAAACCCTAAACCCTAAACCCTAAACCCTAAACCCTAAACCCTAAACCCTAAACCCTAAACCCTAAACCCTAAACCCGAAACCCTAAACCCGAAACCCGAAACCATAAAACCCTAAACCCTAAACCCTAAACCCTAAACCCTAAAAAACCCTAAACCCTAAACCCTAAAACCCTAAACCCTAAACCCTAAACCCTAAAAAACCCTAAACCCTAAACCCTAAACCCTAAAAAACCCTAAACCCTAAACCCTAAACCCTAAAAAACCTGAAACCCTAAACCCTAAACCCTAAAAAACCCGAAACCCTAAACCCTAAACCCTAAACCCTAAACCCTAAACCCTAAACCCTAAACCCTAAACCCTAAAACCCTTAACCCTAAAACCCTAAACCCTAAAACCCTAAACCCTAAAACCCTAAACCCTAAAAAACCCTAAAACCCTAAAACCCTAAACCCTAAAAAACCCTAAACCCTAAAAAACCCGAAACCCTAAACCCGAAACCCTAAACCCTAAAAAACCCTAAACCCGAAACCCTGAAACCCTAAACCCTAAACCCGAAACCCGAAACCCTAAACCCTAAACCCAAAACCCTAAACCCGAAACCCGAAACCCTAAACCCGAAACCCGAAACCCTAAACCCGAAACCCGAAACCCTAAACCCGAAACCCTAAACCCTAAACCCTAAACCCTAAAAAACCCTAAACCCGAAACCCCAAATCCTAAACCCTAAACCCCAAACCCGAAACCCTAAACCCTATACCCTAAACCCCAAATCCTAAACCCTAAACCCCAAACCCGAAACCCTAAACCCTAAACCCTAAACCCCAAATCCTAAACCCTAAACCGTTTTTTTTTTTAGGTAGTACAATGAGTGATTTAGTCTTTTCATTGGTGTTTAATTTAATCTAGAAGGTGGAAATTTTAATCTAAGATTTTTTTAAAAAAATTTTATTTCATTTTTGGGTAACTTTTTTTAGAACCACATGCTAAAAGGCATCTATTCCACTGTTCAATCCGATTGTTTTGGGTGCTCAATAGGAAAAGATAGAGAAGGAAAGGACGGAATTGTAATCTAAGAAAAAGTAATTTCACCTCTTCAACGTTGAAAAAACCACGGTCTAACAAACATGTTATTTTATTATTGTTTTTATTTTTCTTTTCCTTTTCAGCGCAATTTCCCCTAAAATGCCAAGTGAACGCGAAGACCCGTTACCAGATATTACTACAGTCTGTTGTTCTATCTCTATAATCTGCAGATAATAATGGAAGTCATGGCTCTTCAACTCCGTCACTTCCCCCTGTCCCCTTCTCCTTCGTCTATCAAGCACAATTACAAAGCTTCTCGTTGTTTCCGCCATCTTCCCCTTCCCAATTATGCGTCTCGCCACCATCTTCCTGTTTCAAGTAGCCGCAATCGACGGGTTGTGGGCTGCGTTGGCAAGGAAAATACCCAATTGAGTCAATCATCGTCTACCGAAGATGAACAGCCAGACGCCCAAGACCTAGAATACATTCGTCAGATTCAAAGGGTCTGCTGTCTCTTTCTTCTACAGCATCCTTTCTTTCTTCTCGCTTCTAATTCTTTAACAAGCTTTTCTTGGCTGCCTCCTCCAGGTCTTGGAACTTCTCAAGAAAAATAGAGACATGCTCTTCAATGAGGTGACACACCAGTTTGTGTTTTATACAATTCTCGATTACTATAGTTTATTCTGCATTATTTTCTTTATACTCTATGCTTTCTTTTTGTTACTATTTTAGCTTATTCACCTTATTCCTCTCTTTCATTTCGTATTCTTGAATTTAGTAGGTTAAACTTACCGTGATGATTGAAGACCCCCGGGAAGTTGAACGCAGGAGATTACTTGGAATTGACGACGAGGATGCCCCAACAAGGGATGATTTAGCTATCACTCTTGAAGAAGTGAGAAATTTTAGGTTCTCAAATTTTAATATTTGATGATGAGGTTCACAATTTCAAGGCATATATTCACGTGTGATGTTTACAATCTTGATCTGAAATCAGGCAATTATATGTAGCTAGAGAAGATTGGAAAAACGAGGGAGCGGACTCTTAAAAGTATTTGATGAATTTAACGAATGTAGATAGCTTCTTCTGATAAAGTATAGATGAAATTAAATTTCTTACAATTGATGTGCCTACTGTCTATTGACATTTCTTTATCTTACAAAGTTCAAACTGCATTTATAAAAAAAAAATAATGTGAGTCTTATTGCCGTACATGTGACATGTATACCCTTGTTGCCCTCCATGTTGTGTTGAAGATTCTTGGGAGGGAGTCCCACATTAGCTATTTAACGGGATGATCATGTGTTTACAAGTAAGGAATACATGTCCATTGGTATGAGGCCTTTTGGAGAAATCAAAAGCAAAGCCACGAGAGCTTATGCTCAAAGTGGACAATATCATACCATTGTGGAGGTCATGGTTTCTAACATGTTGCCCCTCCATTCGGACAATATCATACCATTGTGGAAGTCATGGTTTCTAACATGATGCCCCTCCAATCGATGCGGATGTTAGCTTTAATGTAACTAAGTAATATAACTAACATAGACACAGGAAAAAGGAGATGTGGTAGAGCAGAAAGAGAATCGTAGAAGTAGCCTCAGTATTATTTTGTATTATTAGTATTCACTTTCATTTGTTATTATACTAGGTCAATGAAGGAAAGTTCCCGAAAAATAGAGCAGCTCTCCAAATGCTTGCTGAAGAGATGACCAATTGGCCCAATTTGGAGGTATTACCTGTTATTTGTCGTTCGAGTTTTGAAAATTTTGAAATTTCGTGCTTGGCCTCGTATAGTAAAACTTTTTTAAAATTAGACTTGAGGCTATATTTGGTTGGACTTCAACTTCTCACATAATAATGCTATCCTGCTGAGAGTAAAACGCTAATTACAAATTGTTTTGGTGATTAAATGTGATGGCGCTAAATCGTCTTTATTCTAGAATGCAGAGGCTGATGGGTCTTCTGACTATTTACTATTGTTTTGGCTCTAAATACTGTAGTTTGCTGTTGTATGGCCAATACCAATCATCATTTGGTCTACAGTAATAGCCCTGTCTGTGAATAGCTAGATGAAGAGAGAGAACCTTAGTATGATCAATGGAGATCATGGCTATTGGATTGACGAGGAGATGTCGATGGATAATGGGCAATAACAGAAAAAGTAATTCTCCGAGGCCGTTTTAATACTACTTTTCTAGTGATATTTTGATTGTGATTCAAAAAATTTCTCCGTGACACTTCAAACAATTCCAATTATCACCAAGTTTTCATTTAGAAATAAGGGCGGGATTTCTCAGAGAAATACGTGAGGAATAGCTTAATCCCAGATAAATACGTGAGGAATAGCTAACTATACGTGAGGAATAACTAACTATGTGTGCTTTTCCTGGGATTGATTGGGATGGAAAGGATGAATAACTAACTATGTGTGCTTTTCCTGGGATTGATTGGGATGGAAAGGATGGTAGGGTGGATGAGTATTAATAGTAAAGGCTAGACAATTTATTATTCAAATATCTAAATCTTTTTTCCTAAATTAGTTAGTTATCGATTATCCTTATAATATCTCAATCATTTTCTTAAAATATCTAGATATTTTTATTCTTAGAATATCTCAATCATTTTCTTAATGGGCTCGTTCAAATATTGGGCTTGGCCCTATTGGGCTAGTGATAATATTTTAACTTGTTCCTTTGCATTAGTCCTCATTTGTTGCCATGTTGAGCTGATAGCGAAAACCCTCACATTTGTCAGTATTTAGCTCTCTTGTAAACAAGTTTGTCACTTGGTCATCCGTATCCTTCTTTGACGTTCTCTCTAATAAAATGGTAATGCACCTCCACATGCTTTGTTCTGGCATAAAATCTTAAATGCTCTGCTAAGCGAACCACAAATTGGATGTCGCAATGAAGTTGTATAAAAGAGTCAATTTTCTAATACAAATCCTCCGTTAAGAGTTTCAGCCATGTATTTTCTTGAGTTGCTCCAACCGCTGCTCTGCACTCCGCTTTTGTAGTCAACAATGATACTCTTGGTTGTCTTTTGCTACACCAAGAAATTGTTCTCAAACCGAGCTTGAACACATACCCGGTGCTTGATCTTTGAGTATCATGATATCCTGCGTAGTTAGCATCACTGTATCTAGCTAGCTTGCAGTCTTTGCTTCTTTTGTACAGAAGATCATAATTGATTCTACCTTTGACATACCTCGAGATCCGTCGAGCCGCATCCAAATGACGCTTCTTTGGACTTTGCATCCAAATGACGCTTCGGTGGACTTTGCATGTACTGACCAATGACTCCAACTCCATTTTCAAATCCATTTGGTTGGTTCATGTAGATCTCCCAGTCCAACTCTCCAGGTAAGAAAACATTCTTCACGTTAATCTCCCATAATTTTCAATCTTTATTTACCATAAGTGCGGGAGGAAGCTGTACGATAGTGATTTTTGCCACTGGACTAAATGTCTCATCATAGTCTAATCCATATCGTTGAGAAAACTCTCGAGCTACATGTTGAGTCTTGTATCTCTCGATTGATCCATCTGACAGACACTTGTAAGAGATGAGTTTGATATCTCCTCGTCTTGGCACTAGTTCCCAAATTTGATTTTGCTAAAGGCTATAATTTCTTACTCCATTGTCTGTTGCCAAGCCATATTTTGTGATGCTTCTTCATACGTCTCTAGCTTCTTAATTTTGTCCTATAATAGAAGTATTGACATACTTTTGATTTAGCTTTTGGATTCTTTTTTACTGTTTAAGTTGTTGATGTGTCATTTATTTTTCACCGAGTTCACTTGATTGACTCACTTCTTGTTCACCAACATTAGTGTCACTTGGACCAATAATCCCTAGACATGTGGCCCTTCTCCCTGCAATTGTAACAAATGCCTTCAAATCTCTTCCCTTGAAAGTTCTTGTTATCGTTCTTTTAAGCTCTCCTCGGTTGTGCAGTTCCTTGATGGCTTCTTTCTTTGTCACCATTTTTGTATCCATGTTTGGTAGACAGTTTATTGTTACTCTGACTTTCACTTGTGTAGAGTGCTTATTCTTCACCTTATGTGATGGCTCCCATTTGTTTAGCCATGACTTTTTGGCTGGCTAGCAAATTTTTAAACTCTAGGAGTGATGGTTGAGCAAACTATCTTTGTATAGCAATAACGAAACTTCTATATTCTAGTCGCAATCTGTGGATAATGATACTTTTCATTCGAGCTTCTCCAATGATGGACTTTGGGTCTAGTTAAGTAATCTCCTTGCAGATCGACTTGACCCTGTGGAAGTACTGAGAAATCGTCAAGTCACGTTATAAAATTGATAAGAGCTCGTTCTCCAGAAGTTGTAGTCTCGTATCGCTCTTCTTTGAGAAAAATATCACGAACATGTCCTATACTTCTTTCGTTGTGTTGTCATCCCAAATGTGTTCTAACATCTCTTCTCCAATAGTGGTTTTCAAGGCAAACATTACTCTGTCTACTTTGATTCTTCATTTGCGCAAGGCACAATTAAAATCATCCTCTTGCAGCGTAGTTTCACTCCCGCCAACGACCTCACAAAGGTCTTGTTCTTTAAATAAGTCATCATGCATGTTGCCCACATGTTGTAGTTGTTGTTAAGTTTCTTGATTCCTCCAACGATGTAAAAATCACCCCATGTTGGCTATACCTCAATAATACCAAATAAGTTCTTTCGACACAAAACTTGCATAGTCACGAATTACTCAAGACACAAAGAAACTCACTCACTAAGAATCTCAAGAAATCATCTTTGATGGGAAGATTAAATAGAGTTGCAACCATAGAGCATACTACACTCGGATACCAAATTGTTGAACAAATTCTTTTTGGTAAACACTCACACTCACTGTGCTTTGGATTTCTTGGGACGAAAACCTTGTATGGTGGAGTATATAGTAGAGGCTAGATAAATTATTCCTATATCTTCATCATTTTTCTAAAATATCTGATATCTGAGTATCTTTATACCTAAAATACCTAAAATACCTAAAATACCTAAATCATTTTTTAAAAATAAATATACATACTTCTAATTATTGGGTTCGACCCTCATTTTTTCTAAAATAAATATATATATGTATAATTATTGGGTTTGACCCTATTGAGGTAGTGATTACTTTTGTCTTATATGCATGAATGTGCATACATGCTTAGCCATGAATGCCTGAGCTCTCATTAACCCCATGGATTGAATAACAATTTAAGCAAAGTATTAACTATTGTCTAATGTAATTATGAGAAATGGTCTCTTCTTGTCCACTTCCCAAATATGGAAACAAATTTCTGGTTCAAACAAGTCGTGGGGATTTTTATTTCTGCTGTTTATATTATCATCTGATAAGGGCCGGTCAGCATGGTTTTGGCTCCACTTTAGATTTTCTTGACATTTTTCTTCTATCCTCGTTGATTATGTTACTCGTACGTGTAGGTTGAGGCACCTAAGAAGAAACGCAGTAAATCTTTATATGCAAATGTCACAGACACGGGCGTGAATCCTCGAGAGGCTGCAAAGAGACTCAACATTGATTGGGATACTGCAGCTGAGCTTGAAGATGCCGACTTGAGTGAGGACCCAGAAGTGCCTGCAGCCGTGGTTTGTTTTCTTTGCCCATCATCAGATACACTACTTTTAGTCCAACTTATTTATTTTGATAATTCACTCCAGATGTTATGGATTTGTCACTTCAATGCGGTTAGGAGTGTACTGGAATTTTGTTAATGGTAACTGAGAGTCAAAATCGTGAAAAGAAAATTTTGCATGATATTACACCATTGCTGATGAGGAATCTAAAATTGATTTGATGCAGGGATATGGAGCACTGTACATAGTGACAGCGTTTCCAGTGATAATTGGCATCTCAGTAGTTCTAATCCTGTTCTACAATTCTCTTCAATAGTGCTTCTACTATGTGGCAATAGACGTGGCTGATGATTGCCGACTGTGGTGGTTGTTTCTGACCCTTCGCGACTACGAGAGTTTGTTATGCATTCAATTCCAAGTAAGGGCCAGAATGAGTTATTGATGAATTTATAAGATGGGAATTATTAAATGCTGAACCACGTCTTTTAAGTTTCTCTCTTGCCGTTATGGCGCTTGATCACGGAATAAAATTACCTGATAAAGAGTGCGGCTAATACCTCATTTGTTGCATTGCATAATGGGCAGAGTGAGTGGTATAAGTCCTCATACTTTCCACGAAATGCTTCGATGCATTTTTTTTTTTAATACCTCAACCGTTAAATATCAAAACAAAAACCGTCATATTTCCTTGCTGCTTGCATGTTATATCCAAGTCAACGGTGGTGGGAATTAGAAAAAGGAAGGCGAAGAACATGCAAATCATTACTAAACAGACTGCCCACCACGTCCATGTGTTGTCTTGTTGTTGGTTGAAGTTTAAAGGCCTTCCATTCCATTCCAAGACAACAATTTCAATCAAACTGCAGTATGCCTGCCATTGCTGATAAATTAGAACCTTTATCTGTTGGCACCACTGGCAGAAGGTACGAACTCGTTGAGGATGTGGTTATTGAGGTGTCAACGCAATTCAAGTTGGAAAGCTACAGTGCCCCCAACTCGGCTTATTCATCCCCTCCGTTGGGCAGTGGTGCGGCAGCAAAAAAGAAAGTCCATGATGGGGGGCGGGGGCTGAATCGGAGCAAATCCTGTGGTGAAGGAAGGGGTAAGGCACTGCCGCATGGTCTTATTGAGAATAGAGTAATGATATGGGAGAAAGGGCATAAGCACAAAACAGAGGAGGGGAAAGCGAGGCGTTTCAGATGTGGGGCACTGTGCTTGTTGCTACCAGTGCTGGGAGGGTTGGGGTTTAAGGTTGGGAAAGGGAAGGAAGAGAGAAAGGAAGAGGTAGAGGAAGGTGAGGAGGGAGGTGGGTGTATATCCATTTCCATAAGTCACAGTCGAGTTTCTTTGGAAAAATTCGAATGTGGCTCGTGGGCTTCGTCGGGCATGGTGGCTCATGAAGATGGGGAATCGATGTCAGGGATGGGGAGCCTTTATTTTGACCTGCCAATGGAATTGATAAGGAACAGCGTGGGTGCACGAACACAATCACCAGCACAGACCGCGTTTGTATTCAATAGAGATGGGGTGGGAGTTCATCATCTTCCTGTGTGGACCAAAGCAAAATTGGCGGAGGAATCGGGAGCTGCATCTCCCTGCGTCATTACCCCACGCTTGCGCAGAGCCAGAGAGGAGTTCAATGCTCTTTTGGAGGCCCATTGATTTTTTCATCGCACACACTATTCAATTTCATTTCTTTTTCAAATGTTCAAATCAAAGTTTGTTACACAAAAGGACGCTACACCAATAATTCAATTGTCTTACTCTTCCAGTCCACGCAGTAAATGTTTTATTATTGTTGTTCTTGATATTCTCTTTTGCTGATGTTAAATCACTAAATAACATTTTCATACAAATTCAAGATATTAAATAAAACATTTAATTGAAACTCGTATTAAATACTTGAAATGGGAATTTTGGTGGGAAATAGAAAGAATGATTATAAGAAACCAGAAAAGAAAGCTTAACCTGGGATTCCTTGAATTCGGACCCGATTACAGGTCGAGTAGAAAAGACATTCATAAATTATTATTATTATTTTTTAAAAAAGAAAAAAGGAATATTCCAGATCACATGCGAGTGTGAGTAAGTGAGGTACACCCATTTTTGCTTGTGAAAGTGACATAGCATACCAAAACTCTGCCTTTGTTTGCTCAATTATTATTATTTATTAACCCATTCTAGTTGTTGTAGAAACAATGTAATTATTCGGACCCACAACTTTCCCTACTTTCTATAACTAAAATTAAATCCATGATTAAACAAATCCCATCTAAAAATAATTGAATTCTATGCCCAAAATTTCCTTGCCGACACGACCACCTCCACATCAGCCTGTTATATATAATAATAATAATAAACTGTGTTTTATTTGTGATGTAAAAATGTAATATAAGCACAAAAAAAGTGTAGAAAAATAATTACAACAAGTGGGTAACAAATAAGAATAAACCCAATCCCCCCTCTTCTACTGGTGCCCCCAAATTATATATGAATTTTTATATAATATACAGTCGGAGTGAGCTGTAACCTGGAACCGATCATTTCGAGCTCCAACCTGCAACCTGGAACCTGGAACCGGTTGATCAAGAAAGGAAACAGAGCGGAAATTAGGAGAAATGAGAATGAATGGTTGTGGTTCATCACTGGCGCGTGGCCTGTAACCTGGAACCGATCATTTTGAGCTCGAACCTCTTGACGGCAGGAGCGACGAGACGCATGGTGGTATCCAGAAGAAAGGGGGTGTCGTCGAGAGTGAGTTGGGTTAGATTGGAAAGGGAGCGGCAGGGCTCCCTTCGGTGGGCAATGGTGCCATGGTAGTGGAAGTATTTGATTTTGCCCTCCGTCTTGTGTGTGGTCTTCCCAGCTACATTCTCCGACATGTGCACCCCCGTCGCAAACACCCTCCGCGGCTGTACTGCGTACTTTCGGTCCCTCCTTATTCCCCTTTTCACGTCCTTGTATACAAGCTTTTCAAACCCCCATTTCCTGCAACCAAGCCAACCATATCCATTCATTCATTCATTATCTTCATACATATTCTACAATGCCAACTTAATCCACTACTATTGTTATCTAAACATGTTACCATTCTCTATATGCAATCAACGGAATTTCCCCAAACTAAACTAATATCAGCATCAAAAAACTATCATCCCCCTAATCACGCACTCTTTTTGCGTCTATGCACAGAATTCACATTACAGCATCGTATAATAATTGGTACCTGTGGGTTCTCCCCGCATCTTCCGTGAGACACGTCTTGCTATTCATGGGCATTTGCTCAATTGTAAACTGGGCGTAGTCTGAAAGCGAATCTAGAACTGATTTTATGGTGCTTTTGGGCGGCACGTAGATGAACTCGTCAATGTCGAAGAAGAACATCCACTTGGCCATAAACTTGTAGCGATGCAAACAATCATTCACCACCATGAATTGGTTGTGGTAGTATCCATCGAACCTCTCCTCCTCCCTGATGTCCTGCAACGTCACATAACCCAATTCCATCCATGGCTTCAAAACCTGGAGCACTTCCTCGTGAACCCCACCTGCATCGTGTATTACGAAGTGGGATCTGACCCCGAACAGCCTGATATGGTAGGCCAGCCACTCTCTCACCCTCTGGGGGCTCAAGTTCCCATACAGAGACGACCCACAGTAGAGATAGTCGTATTTGGGGCTGGATGTGAAAAGGGAAGCGTTCATTCCTCCGGGACTTTCTGTCAACACCTCAATGGTGTCGGTGAGGTTGAAGTTGCGGTCTCCGCCGCCGGAAGTGGAGGCATAAAGGAGCAATTTTCCACCCTGGTTGTCAGCATTAACAGGGTGAGGGAAAGTACAATTGACGACGACGACGGTGTAAACACGACCATAGCCCCAATCGGGAAGGATCTTGAAGGCGGAGGCGTTGATGGGATTGGAGGGGTGGAGGAGAGGAATCCACTGGCATTGGTATGTGGGATGTCCAAAGACGTGAAGAGGCTTGGAGGCTAAACCGACGATGGCGAAATTGTCGACGCCGCCTCTGTAAGCACCCATGGTGATGAAGTTATACGCGGCGGCACCGTAAGGACGAAAAACGCGCCTGAGAATGCCATTGGGAAGAAGCTGATCTGTGGGGAGGGAGGTGGAGGGATGGGGGCTGGGAGGGGGTATGGAAGAATGGAGTGTTGCCGATAGAGAAGAAGAAGAAGAAGAAGAAGAAGGGGAATCTTGGGTGGCGGAGCAGGAGCGGAGATCGGAGATGGAGAGGGTGAAACGAGAAGGAAGGAACTGGAGGATAGTAGCGAGAGCACAGAGGAGGAGGAGAGCGGAAAGAAAAAGCTTGAGCTCTGCGGCATAGTTAAAAATAACTCCGACATACATCCTCCTTTCTCGGTCTTTCGCCATGGTAGGAGAGAGAGAAAGAAGGGAATCTGCTCTGATGGAAGGAGCAGAGCAGAGAAGAGCGGAGCGGAGAGATGATGCGAATCCACAACACAATCCAGTTGGGATTTAGGGAAGCAAAGAGTGAAAGGAGGGAGGGAGGGTGGAGAAAGGTTGGATGCGATATTATTGAATATGTGAACTGTAAAAAGGAAAGCAAAAAATTGAGAGAGAGAGAGAGAGAGAGAGAATGTCGAAAAGGAAAAAGGTAAAATACAAATAGGAGTTGGACCTTGGACTTGGAATTGTTGTGTTATTGGAAAAGGCAAAGGCAAAGGCAAAGGCAAAGGCAAAGGCAAAGGTAAAGGTAAAGGTAAAGGCAAAAGCCCTAATGGCGGAAATGGAATTCAGTGCCGAGATTAGAGCGCACAACCTCATTATTACTACCCTTCATTAATTAACCTCCACCTTAATCCCGCCCAATCCCATTAATCACGTTCATCTTCCAGAGTAGAGCTGCACACAGAGTGCAGTAAAGTAATGAGACAATATATGAATAATAAATAATAATAGTAATAGTAAAAAGAGGAGAAGTAGGAAAGGTAAAAGGAGGACCTACAAGAAAATATGACGGTAGATGGAGGGCGTGAAGTGCAAACATGGGAATAGAATGATTCGGTGGCGGGGTGATAGGGGTTGGGCCCCGCCCCCACACCCAATCCTGTGCTGTAAACCTGTAACGGGAGGAACCTCTCTCTCATTTTCCCACTGCATGCCTCCCTTGGATTGATTCGCGTCGTCGGTGCGTTTTCTACCCCTCTCTTCTTTTGTAATAAAAATTTACACCCCTATTAATTTGACATAAAATAAAATCCTCTTCAAATGTGAATACAACCATTCCTTTTTATGAAACAAAACGCTGTATTTATCCAAATGCTCTTCTAATATTAAACTATACCACCTATTAAATGCAAGTTCAGTTTTTTAAAACTAAAATTAAATCATTAAATCATTGTTAAATGACATTTTCAATAACAATGGAATGAAATTAAGTTTGACATTTAGTATTTTAGTTTTTAAGAATTAAAAAGATGATGTTAAATAAAAATAATATTTACTTTTATTAATATATAAAATATAACATATATACACATATATATTAAGATTCAGGTAATGGTGTATCGAGGTAGTATGACATATTGATGTAAATATGAATAATAAAATTAAACTAAATTAAATATAGAAGTAGAAGTTATAAGCTTGATTTTGAAAAACCAAAATATTTATTAAATGATGTGGTGTCCATAAGAGAAGAGGGGATGGGAGTAGAGAAATTCACTGAAATGATGCGGTATTACAAGAATTCTCTTTCAAAAAACATACGTATATATGTAGAAAAAGAGAAAACATAAAAGGGGGTGGTTACAAAGTAGAAATCATTTACAGTGAAACGTGTAGTTAAGATGTTATGTGCAGTTTGGATAAACATGATGCAGCAGTTCAAAGTTGAGAAGTTGAAAAAGAAAGGTAAAAGAAGGCCCAAAGAGATGATAAGAGGTAAAAGAAGGTGGATTTTGTAGGGTTGATGGAGGAAGAAGAATGAAGACGGTCCTCTGAAGCAAGAACTCGTGCATCGGACGTTGCTATTCCTTCCTATGAATGTGGCATAAAAGAGGCCCGCACCACGTCCTCAATCGGAGCTCCGCAAACTGGACACTTTCCCCCTCTCCATTGCAATTCCTTAGCACATTTCATACAGCTACACATGTGTCCACATCTGCACCAATACAATATGTAGTATATGATATCATCATTATTCACACTCCTTTCACTTTTTTAAGATACATACATACATATAGATAGATAGATATAGTTACCTATACAGTAGTGAGTCAATCTGCATGTCGTAGCAAATACAACATTTGCGCTTTCTTGATTTCTCTTTCTTGGATTTCCTCCCTCCTCCTCCAACTTCATGCCGCTTAATCGAGTGCTGCAACATGAGCTGCATGTCCATGCAACATTTTATGGATTTTCTCAGTTCCGACATCTCCTGGTACAATTGCTCCATGTGCCCTCTTAAATCGTATATCAGTTCCATTTCCTGAATTTTACAATTGCCACAGTAAGTAACGTCATATTATGCATATAATATATATACACACACATTCAAGAACACCGCTCTAGCCTCTTACAATGGATGGATGATGGGTTGTTGAGACGGGGGAAGAGCGTTGGGTATTGGAGGAAAATTGAGGTTGGAAAGGTTGGGGTGAGGAAGTAGATGCGCCTCTGTTGGAATCTTCACCCATCTCGTTATCCAGCTGGTAGCTCCATGAGCTCAATATTGACGGGGATGGAAATTGCAAAGGAGATGCAGATGGATCCAAATCATCGCTTGCTTCTTGATATTGAGCGCTGCTAATCAAGCTTCTTTCATCACGATCTTCTTCTTCTTCTTCTTCTTCCTCTTCGTTATCACTACTCTTTGGTTGAGTGTGTCCTTCTGAGAAACACCACAGTTCTTCTTCTCCTTCTTCTTCTTCTTCTTCTTCTTCTTCATCTTCTTCTTCCGCTCCATCATCATATTCTTCTTCTTGCTGCGTTTGTCGCTCTAATCGGGACACCATCAACTTGTCCATTCTTTCACGAAACTCACTCGATAGAAAATTCGATACTGTTTTCCTGCCATCCACAATTCAATACCATCTTAATTTCAACTCAACACATAGCTAGATGATGCATCAAATGAGTAAAGGAATGGAACGGTACACCTTTCAATAAGTTGACGTATTTCTTCGTTGGCAGAATTGGAGTCGAGCATTTGCTGATACCAAGATTTCCTGCGGTCTTCCCAATAACTTCGAGGCCGAGAAATATCAGCAAACCAATCGTAACTGGTTCCCAAGTAGTTTTCATCATAACTCTCTTCTGCTGCCTCACTGTGATCTTCTGCTTCCCATCCATTGATAGAGTCTTGTGAATCCAAATTCAAATTAGGCCTATCTTGCCATCTGCCCTCTGAACTTGGAGGATCAACTTCTTGTTCTTGTTCTGGTTCTGGTTCTTGTGCTGGTTCTTCTTCTTTTTCTTCAATTTCCTCTTCATTGAAATGTTCAGGAATTGGATTAATGCCAACCACTTGCTGGTTATTGCTATCCTTATCATTATCATTGTCATTATCTTTTGTGTTGGTGGCATGAGTATGAGGATCAGTATCCAACTGGTTTTTATCATCATCATTATTGTCCAGCATCTCTCCAATAGGGCTTCTTGCGCCATTCTCACCAGCTCCACTAAACCTCTCCCTGCAGGATGCATGCCACATAAAGCCAAAATCCTAACGTATGTATTGAATTACAATTCATTATACCTGAGATGGCTGATGGTATAAGCTCTATGATTCGCTCGAGGCGTTATTACAAATTTTGGGCGCTTCTGCTCATCTTCCAATGCCATTCCACGTTGCAAAATCTTAAGCCGAAGTAGCGACTGCAGCATCTCACAACCCGCATTCCCAACAATAGTCAAATTTTACAAGCATCCACCTTTCTTTCTTTCTTTTTTTTTTCTTTTTTCTTTTTTCTTTTTTCTTTTTTTTTTCCATTCTTATGAGATTAGATAATTTAATAAGATGTAAGGTAGAACAGTACTGATTCACTCCATAGAGATTAGATTAGATAAGAAAGTGATTAAAAATGGAGAAGAGATGATTAATATTGTAAAAACAAAAAGAATGGAGAGAAAACGAACCTGGATGCGGCCACGTTGGGGGAATTTTGAAACGGCTCGACGCTCTACCAATGTCTCGAGCTCTCTTTGCCTGTCTCGCTCGATTTGCAAGAGTAAATCGGCAAAGGCCTGACGTCCTCTGATTCGGGGAGAGTATAAAATATGAGAAAGGCATTTGGGCTCTACTTGGTATCTCAGAATCAGAGTGGGATTTGAGGAGGATTCATTGGAGTGGTCGTTGTCTTCGACCCAAGATGAATGCGGAGGCTTTGCAGCCGTCAATGTCAATCTCCTAATGATATCTACCACGCGCACCCTCTCCCTTTCTCTCGCATCTGAAATCTGGCTTTGCGTGGAAGAGGGTGGAGAACTGGAACTTGTTCTGCTCGAATGCCAATCTGCAAACACGTCTTCGCTCCCGAGCCCTGCATCGTACCTCTCGTCGCCAAAATCCCCTGCTTCCAACGAGCATGCCTGCTCCTGCTCCTGCTCCTGCTCCTGCTCCTGCTCCTGCTCCGTCTCTTGCTTGACCGAACAAACCGAAGGGGTCGCGTTCGCATTCGCATTCGCATTCAAACCGACGTTAGAGGAGGAAACATTTAGCCTCTTCTCCCATATCTGCACGAGAGAAGATGCTCCTAGCTTTGATGAATGGTTCTTGTCCGTACCCGTTTGAGGAGTAGGGGTGGTTCGTGTTTGTGGGTTGTTATTATTGTTGTTGTTTTGTGGGTGATTAATAATGGTAGACAAAGTTTGACATGGATTGGAGCGCCTGGGAGCGGAATCATGGTTGGTTCTGGGGACTCGAAAATTAGGAATGACGGGGTTGGGATTGTGGTTTTGATTTCGATTTGGGGTGATTGTGATGCAATCGTTGAGGCGATCCATGACCAAAGTCTTGAGGTTGTTGCGAAAACGAGCAACATGGGTGGCGGTGACATTGGGCTCTCGCCGCCGGTTATGGTCTCTGAGAACGCAGCCAAAGGGTGAGGCGGAGGAAGAAATTTCGACCTCCGAAGAAGCCATGAAGAATGGGTCACCCAGTGGAAGGGAGGGACGGAGGATGAGCAATGTTTGAGGGAGCTGGTTGGATCAAAACCCCATGGAATGAAGAACAAGGAAGGCGTTAAAGGAGAGGGAATAAGACATTTTGGTTGGGACGGAATTATGAGAAACCAATCCAGAAAGGGGGGAAGCGGGGGAAGGAAGATATGAGGGGAATGGCACCGAAAAGAGAGGACGCCATTTTGAGGCTTGTAAGATGGAAATCTCTGGCACACGCTCAACCTACCCTAAATTAAGCATCCACAACAAATAATGTGGACCTAAATATGTCTTCGCCCTGCATTTTGTGAACAATATGTACCAAAACGGAGACGTTGGTTTTCAGCCGTTGAGCGCGTGCGGTCCAAATATAACTAAGATTGAAATCCAAAACCAGACCTTGGGGTCCATGGCGGGAGGTCAGGGAAGGCGTTTTTTATTATTACTTTTCTCCTTAAATTATCAAAAATACATATTAATTATATAATTTATTTCAATTATGACTCAAACTTCTTAAACTTTCATTTTTAGCTTACCCTTTTATCATCAAATTTATATGCTTCTTACATTTATAATTTTTATCCCAACTCTAACTTCCAATTTTTTTTTTGAAAAAAAAAAAATATATACACTTCAAATTTTAGAGATTAAATTACAAACTTTTCAAAATCACTTAAATAATTGAAAGGATGCCTCCACAAACTTCCTTCACAATATTCAATATTCAATTTTTAAATTTTTGGATCAACACACATCCAAATTTTTAACGGGCATTAGCAAAGCTTAAATTAAGTCCATTGAATGATATTGAATGCTAAAGTATCATATCAAATAGAATAAGAATATTGAACTTTAATTTGGCAAGTAGATTTGAAAGTAGGTTTTTATAACTAACACACATCGTCTCCATTTTTTTCTGCAACCTATATAATCTTATTGTGTGCCTTCCCGTGTCATGTCGTGTGTGGTTGTACGGTTTGGCCAATGTTCTATTACTTTTGAAGGATCAGACCAATTGGAATATGTTGGCCCAAAGGCTCCTTAATTTCGTGTTACATCACAAGTACATTGTAAGTGTCAAGTATTAGGTTACAATAATTTTAAGAAAGGAAAGAGCGACATTTTTAAATGAATTAAGAAATTACAAGTGAGATTAGAAAAGTAATTTTATATGAATATTACAATGCAAAAATGTAATTTTATATGTATCCATTTACAACCTATGCATCTCCCAACACGATTCTGCCAAAAAATTTACAATGCCTTGGAAGAAAAGGTAAATTAAACAACTGAATTGCTGATGGCCTTGCAATAAGAAATAAAAACAATAATAAAAAAGCTGCTGATGACCTATCCGCTGAGTAACTTTCATTCCTGACTGAAGCATATATAAGTAAAAGCAAAACTTGGTTGAAGGTTAAATTATGATGATTTTGAAAAGCTGGCCAGAAATCCTCGTGCAAGTTCACCTATGACCTTGGAAAGCTCACATAATGAAGTCCTCCTTGTGACCCAAGCCATGCTCCCCAACTATGATCTCCACAGCCTAGGTATCCATTCTGCTCTCTCGGAAATCCTGGAAGAAGTTAAATAGAAAACAATATAGTAGAAGAAGCGTATAAAGACGAAAGAAACAATAGAGAGCGAGCATTACTTCCAGCCCTTCGCCAGCATATGGTTGAGGGGACAGCATCAACAAACTTATCCTCAAAGATAAGTTTACCAGACTTGATATTCCATAGACGGAAGTTGCAGTCTTCTCCACCTAAAACCGGAATATGTTTAGTGGAAACTCTAGTTTTACCAGTACCCACGAGATTTCTGAATATAAAAATATTGAGCCTGCACTAAAATGATAGGTACCAGATGCAACAAACGTCTCAGTGGGATCAACTCCAAGCTGTATACGAGTATGTGAATTTGCGTGCCGATCATAGGTTTGTACAGCACCTCTCTGGATAAGGCGATGATCATAAAGTCTTACCTGTACAAACATGAATCCGACAGGCAAAGAATTTAAAATGAGTAAATGAGAACACAGAAATGTGTCAGGAAAAACAAGCCCCCGATGCATTTTATCAATGCCAGGAGGATAGATACGCCGATGAGTAGGGAGGTTAGACAAACTGAGGGAAACTTTGCGTGAAGAGAAGACATAAGGAGTAATTTGTTAAGTATGGGAAGAGGACTTGCAAGATTGGAAACTGAAAATATGTGGCTGCAGCATCACACTTTCGGTACTGTTGTGGATGATTGGAGGCAACCAATCCAATTCAAGGCGGCAGAGCCATAGTTTTTAACAGAAACTAAGAGGGTTGAAGATACTAATCAAAACATGGAACAAAGAGGCTTTAAGGGAGACCAACTTCTATCCACTTAACTTTCAAAGGAGAAACTTTATAATAAAAAATGGTTGGATGAAGGGGCTGAGAACACTAGCTCTTTCCGTCAAATCATGACCACAAAGACTGTTGACAAGTTCCTAAATGACAAGGATATGGCTTGCTCCCTCACTCCATCCACTTGAACCCCATTTCTAAAAAACGAAATGCTAACCCCAGAGGCTCCTTTTAATAAACAGGAAATTTTCAGTTTTTCTTGCTTTCCACTCTCCGGAGATTTAGTATTCTTTGAGCACTGAAAAATCTAGTTAAAAAAATAAAATAAAAATAAAAATAAAATAAAAAAGTAATATGCAGAGCAAGCCATGGGAGGAGAAGGTAGAAAGTGGGCTCGTATCAAGGGAAGAGACCCAAACCTCTCCCATTGTTTGATATTTTACAATTTTCCTTAAGTA